CGCAATATGTGCAGAAGTAAGCACGAAGGGGGGATGGGGTTTCGGCGGTTCGAACACTTTAATCAAGCCCTCCTGGCTAAGATTGGGTGGTGAATCTTGATGGAACCTCAATCCCTCCTGGCCCAGGTGTATAAAGCTAAATATTTTCCTAATGGTTCTTTCATCCAAGCCAAGGCTCGTTCACGCCCTTCCTAGGGGTGGCAGAGCATTCTTTTTGGGCGGCAACTATTGGAAATGGGTTTGCGTTGGCAAATTGGGGACCGCCGTTCTGCGTCCTTGCTTCGATCAACATGGATACCTCAATACCAGCTAGACCCCCCTCGCTATAATCCTCTGATCCTACCAGCTGGAGGTGATCCTCTGGTAGTTGAGCTTATTGTTCAGGGGGAGGGGAGGTGGTGTGATCGTAAACTTAGCCAATGGTTTGACCCCGCGACCTGTCGGGCCATCAAGAAAATCCCTCTACCTCGCCAGGCTATGGAGGATAAATTGATCTGGCATGGTACAGTTGATGGGATTTTTTCGGTGAAGTCGGCTTACCACTTGGCAGTTACTTTGGATAGGAGAAGAGGTGGTTGGAAAGCCACGGTGTGTTGGATGGACAAGGCTAGCTAGATTCGTCTTTGGGACGCGAATATTCCTCCTAAGCTTAAGGTTTTCATTTGGCAAATCCTTAATCGAGCCCTTCCCACTGCTGAAGCACTAATTGAGAGAAAGGTTCGGGTTCACCCTCGGTGTCCTGTTTGCTGGGGTGCTTCAGAATCTTTGGAACATCTGTTCCTTTATTTTCCGGTGGCTCGTGCTCTTTGGGATTATTCGGGCCTGGAGTATATTGGGGAGGGTTTGCCCCGTGATCATTTTCCGCTTTTCCTTAAGAGGGTGTTGGCCCTGCTTAATTAACCTAGATTGTTCATGGCAGTTGTGGCCGTCCTTTGGAGGATTTGGCGATCTCGTAACTGGGTAGTTTTTGAGGGTAAACAGTTCAGCTTCCTTGCTTTGACGAGGCAGTTTAGCCAACAGTATGAAGAATGGGTTAGTTTGCCTCCTGGTCCAATCCCTCAGGGTATGGGGAGGACTATGGGTCTGGCTGATTCTGAGGGAACTGCGGGTATGGTTTGTATGTGGGATGGTGCTACCAGGAGAGGGTCTCATTCGGCAGGTGGTTTGGTTATCTTAACCCCTGGTAGAGAGGTCCTCTTGGCTAAAGGGGTCCAGTTCCAGTTAATTGATGATCCTATGGTAGTGGAATTGTTGGTGCTCCGAGAGGCGATTCTTTGGTGTTTGAATCTGGGATTTACGGAGATCACCTTTGAAGGCGACGCCAAGGTAATTATTGATAAAGTTAATCAAGCGGACGCCGGGGACAGTCGGATGGATGCAGTGCTTCAGGAAGTAGTTCATTATTTTGGTTCCCATCCTGGTTTTAGTGTTCGATTTGTAGGTCGTGATTACAATAGGGTAGCCCATTTGGTGGCTCGAAAGGCCTTGTCTTTGTATCCGGCGAGGAATCGTGCCTTTGATTATCGGACCTGGCTGAATTCCAGGATGCAACTTCTTTTGTCTTGATCAATATTTGATTATCTTTTGAAAAAAAAAAAAAAAAAACTAAAATCCACTACGCCTAGTAATCTATGCAATTTCCAGTATAACTTTACAAATTATGCATGTAACAAAGCTAACACGAAATCATGCAAACTATTCTATCTCGATGTAGAAAAACTAATCCAAATCACTTAAAATAGATTAGGAATGCCAATATAGTTGCACTACAAAATTAATAGGTATCGGAGACGAAAAATATTGTCCCAAAAGTTTCTAGCACAATAAAAAAATCCTATAAAAACAACACATAAGTTACGAACAAGGGTTTGGTCTAATGGTAATACCACTAGTCTAGAACCTAAAAGTATTAGGTTCGAATGATTATCTTTTGTAAAAAAGAAAAATATATTAGGTTCGAATCCCTTAAGTAGTACCTTAATCCCAAAAAAGTAAAAACCTATATTACCCTTAGAGCATCTACATTGGAGAAACTCCCTCCATTTGCTTTCTGACGTGGCCCAGCTTTGCAATTTCATTTTCACATTCCACCAATGTGAGTGGCTATTGCAAAAATGGAAACTTTCATTTGGTGCAAGTCTAATTGCAAGTCACGGTCGAAAACCGACTATAATTTTTTTTCCTGTTATGATTTCAATGCCAACTTTTGGCTGCATGTGCCATAGATTTAATTATTATTGGAATTTTTTGGATAATTTCCATGGACCATGTGTTAAATTAGTATTATTGTAATTTTTGTATCAATGGGGTAAATAGCATCATATACTTATTTTATTAATTATAATAAAATATACATAATAAGAAGCAAGATGCAGCAAGAAAAGACGTTGAGAGAGCATTTGGGGTGCTCCAAGCACGATTTGCAATAATTCATGTTCCATCACGCATGTGGTGTAAAGATATAATCAGAGAAATATTGAGAGCATGCATAATTATGCACAACATGATAGTGGAAGATGAGCGTCATTCATACATCTGGCATTTTGATTATACAGAAGATGATGTCAACTTTAGTGTCTCGATGCCTGCAGTTTCAAATAATCGTCTCCTAGAGTATGAAGAGTATCTTCGCAATCATACAAGAATTCGTAATCGCTCTACAAATAATCAAATTCAATCAGATTTGATAGAAGAGATATGGGCACGGTTTGGAGATGAGGAAAACGATGTTTAATTTACATTTCTGACTTTACATTGTTCCATTTAAAATTTTAGATATAAGTTTTTTGACTTTATTTATGTGTCTTATTTGAATATTGTGCCAGTTCTAGCATTTTATTTTGATTTTATGAATAATTATTGAGTACTAGATTCTTTCTATTCCATCCTCAAGACAAAACTGTCTTCATAAATTAGTAATTAAAAATTTATTAATTAATTGTATATATTTCATTTAAATTAAAATAGAATAAAATTTTATTTTATTTACTTGAAATGTGGATAAAAATGTATTTAAAAATGTTATTTTATGTATAAAAAATTAGGCCCCATATGCAATTGCAAGTTAATTGCACCAATGCAGGTACAATGAATGTAAAGTGAGTTGACTTGTAAAAATGGTGTTGTATCAAAAAAATCACCAATACAATTGCAAATGCAATTGCACCAATGGAGATGCTCTTGGATCCACTTATAATGCAGTAGGTAGTCCATTCCACAACTATCACAACTCATAACACCACTTCTAAAGGCTACTGGAGCTTTACAAGCAATGAACAAATATCAAGCTTTATGAACGATTTACCTTTGAGCAAGCCCTTACGTATAACTTCGCAAATAATGAACAAGCAGCAAAGTTTATTAGAGAAGAACCGTAAGTAAAAAAGAAGTACAAGTAATTGAAGACTGATTTACCTGCTGGCAAAGAGAGGGCATTTGGCTAAGTTACCTTAAAGTTATAGGACATGATTGTAACAAGCTAGCGGTAGCGTGAGGCGGGTAATACTCGGTCTGCCGTAGCGTGGGGCCGGACATGTATATCTAGTTTCAACTATCCTCGTCTCGTCCTGCCCCGTTCTTGATCCATTCCGTCTCAATTTATTACTGTATTTATTTATATTTCTCTTATTTTGACTTGACTTCAACTAGTTGGACTCGATCTTTCAACTAGTTAGACTCAATTATCCATTTTTATAATTTTTTTCATTCATAGTGTTTTACCCTTTGTTTAATTATCGTAAAAAGTAAAATTTTGTGTGTATTCTTTTTAAATAACATGTATGAATGGGTCCACCCGCCTGACTTTATAATACTCTCGAGTATTATCCACCCCGACCCATAACAATGTGGGACAGAGCATGGATATTGAAGTACCCGCCCCGCCTCATTGCCATCACTACAAGCGGGATTATGTGGTTAAATTTATCCCATTCTGAGCGAAAAACCCAAATTCAGAGTTCATAATTCGCATGACCTCAGAACATTATTTCAACGCCATAAGAACCTAAAAGAGGAAAGAAAGATTTTGTGGCAAAGTGCGTTGGATTGTGATTAATCGATTCCAATCTCATTATCCAGCATCTTCAAATCTAATCAAACTAAAACTATTTGGGATTTCCTACAATAACTTGGGTATAATTTCAAGTTAGGTAACTTGTATAGATATAAACCGTTAAAATCTATCAAATTTATTTTTAACCATTGATTAAAAACTAAATAAAAGCAACAAAAGAAAATATAAAAGTCAATGGCAACCGGAGTTACCCGTCAGGCCGTCACCACCTTTCACAATTTACCTTTCTTATTGTTTCTTTCCTTTTTTGCTTTTAATTGTTTTTCCTTTTTTAAATTCTTATTGAATTAGAAGCGTTACGTAAGGTTTCCGTAATAACTTAGCTCTTTACGTAACACGATGTTAATACTCGTTACATAAAGAGACATTCCATTACGTAAGGCTTCCGCAATGACATTTTACAATTGTTACGTAAAATACACATTCATTACGTTAAGGTTACGAAACGATAGTTATTTCTTACGTAATAGTTAAATCGGAAGCATTGCGTAAGGCTTCCGTAATGACTTAGCTCTTTACGTAACGCGAGATTTATACTCATTACGTAAAAAAGACCTTTCATTACGTAAAGGTTACGGAACGACAGTTATTTTTTACGTAACAGTTAAATCAGTAGCGTTACGTAAGGCTTTCGTAATGACTTAGCATTTTACGTAACACGAGGTTAATACTCATCACGTAAAGACACATTCTATTACGTAAGGCTTCCGTAATGATCGTTTACAACTGTTACGTAAGATTACCATATGTTACGTAACCATTACGTAATGCCTATTGTATTTTACGTAACGCGACCCGTGAAACCTGCTATAACAGGTGAAAAAATTCAAGTTACCTTACTTCCAGTTACCATAGGAAATCCCAAACTATTTATCCATACAGCCCCCATGTACTTGAAGTAGAAAGCATATATAGTTTTTCAACTAAACCTCCGCGTTACCAATTAACCAACACATACACACCTGATTAAGATGAATGAATCACATACATGGAACCTTTTTGCAGCTATACCTATGCCTTCTCCCCGTATCTCTTGTTTCTGTCAAAACATGAAATCAAAACATAAACGAGACACAAGATTTACGTGGTATCCTCAACGTATAACGTTGAGACTAATCCACGGAGAGGTGGAAACCTCTTGAAGTCAATGGAATTACGTAGTATGGAGTCCACAAAGATTACATGCGGCAAACCACCAAATAAATACAGCCGCCCACAAACCCTAGGTATGCAGATTGTAATTAACCAATAAACAGGCTAGGTTAATTACAATCTAGTATCCAGACTTCTAACAGCCTCCCTCAAATTGATGAAGCTGGCACAACATCAATTTGTGAACCAGAAACCAATGACGAGCTGTAGCAACAGCTTTAGTCAACAAATCTGCAGTCTGTTCCTTCGATGTGACATATGACAGTTCCACTGCGCCTTCAGAAACCGACTGACGAATGTAGTGCACGTGAACCTCAATATGTTTCGTGTGATAATGAATAACCGGATTGGTGGCAATCCGAATAGCACTAGTGTTGTCACCATACAGCCGCATAGGAGTAGGACACTCAACTCCAAGATCAAACAGTAAACGTCGAAGCCAAACAAGTTCTGACGTGACCGAGCGGTATTCAGCTTCTGTGGAGGACTTAGACACTCATTCCTGCTTCTTACATTGCCATGAAATAAAGGACTGGCCGACCTTCACACACCACCCAGATGTAGAATGACGAGTATCTAAGCAACGTGCATAGTCTGCATCTGCAAAGGCCTCTGTGGTCAACTTACCTGAATCCGGAAAGAATAATCCTACCTTATGCGTACCACGCAAGTACCAAAGTATCCTGTTAACTGCCGCTAGATGAGCAGTTCGAGGAGCCTGCATAAATTGACTCACAACCTGAACTGCATACGAAATATCGGGACGCATATGGGTCAAATAAATGAAACTCCCCCCATGCTTTTGTAAAACAAGCCATCAGGTAGTAAATCACCATCAGTCTTCCGTAGTTTGAGGCTTTGCTCCATGGGTGTTGCACATGGATGTCAATCCTCCATATGAGCAGTCTCTAGTAAGTTAAGAATATATTTTTCTTGACAAACCATCAACCCAGAAGTGGACCGATGCACTTCAAGACCAAGAAAATAAGAAAGATCACCCAACTCATTAAGATTAAACGCAGAATGAAGCTCTTTAGTCAACATCTGAATACCTTCTACATCATCCCCACTAATAACCATGTCATCGACATAAATCAACAGTACCGTAAGACCCTTTGCAGTGCAACATGTAAAGAGAGAAGGATCATTACTACTCTACTGAAACCCAATGCGGTGAATAGTAGCATGAAACTTCTCAAACCAGGCGCGAGAAGCTTGCTTCAGACCATACAGAGAATGCCGTAAAAGACAGACCTTCGACTTATCCCCCTTCGAGTACCCAGGAGGACACTCCATATATATCGTCTCCTTCAAATCACCATGTAAAAACACATTCTTTACATAAAGTTGGGTCAAACTCCACCCGCGCAAAGCTGCAACAGCGAGTAAGGTACGGACAGTCTGCATCTTCGCAACAGGTGCAAATGTCTCGTCATAGTCGATGTCGAATTCCTGCTTAAAACCTTGAGCTACCAACCTAGCTCAATACCGCTCAATGGACCCATCAGGATTTACCTTGATTGCGTACACTCATCTACAGCCAATAACAGAACACTCAGGAGGACGAGGAACAACATCCCAGGTATGATTAGCCTCTAATGTTGCGAACTCAACATCCATCGCGTCATCCCAACAAGCTTGCCCATGAGCCTGCTTATACGAAGCTGGAACCGACACATGACTAGTAGCAAAGGTGACAAAATCATTAAGCAGCAAAGGAGGCTGCCCCCGAGTAACCCGATCCGAGCGACGCAAAACGGGAGGAGGAGAATCAGGGTGACCAGAATCTGAGTCGCTAGATGAGCTGAAGGACTGCGTAGACGAGGATTCCGAAGAACAGGAGCTGGACAAAGCCGGATGACATGGATCTGGGAGAAGAGCTAGACATCAAACTCGGCGGCGGGAAAGGAGGCACAGGCGGGAGAACTTCAAGAAACTCCACCATTGGATGAAATAGATCAGTAGCCATACGTTCATCATCGATAGAGGAAGTATAATAACAAAGATGCTCGAGAAAAAACCACATCACATGAGATCCAAACTCGACGATTAACTGAGTCATAACAAATGTAGCCCTTATGCTTCTCACTATAGCCAATAAAGACACATTGATCGCTTTAGGATCCAGTTTGGTATGCTCACGTCGTGGGAGAAGCACATAACACACACAACCGAACACCCTCAACCGATCGTAATCGGGAAGACACTGATAAAAATCCTGATAGGGACTCTGATGAGCGAGAATTGAAGTAGGTTGCCTATTAATCAAGTAGATAACAGTATGAATAACCTCACCCAGAATGAAGTCGGCACACCCGATTGAATGAGGAGCGCATGAGCAAGATCTAAAACATGACGATGCTTCTTCTCCACAAGACAATTCTAATGCGATACCCCCGGGACAAGACTACTGAGGAAGAATGGCCTGGTCTCGAAAGACCTCCTGAAGCGGTCAAGAAGTGAATTCACCGCCAGGATCAGACCGCAATATATTAACTGTCCATCCAAATTGTGTATGTACCATCGAGAAGAACTCGTTGGATGCACCAAGGAAATCAGACTTTTGACGTAGAAAATATACCTAGGTATAGCGCGTAACATGATCAACAAATAGCGCAAAGTAGCGAAAACCAACACGGGAAGTCACTGGGGCAGGCCCCCACAAATCTGTATGAACTAAATCAAAAGGAGCCGAATATTCCGTAGTACTTGGACTGAAAGAATGCTGTGATAATTTAGCCGCAATACAATGAATACAATCCCGAGAATCAATTGCAGAAATCGAACCCGACAATAATTTAGTCTTATATCCAAAAGACTGGGCGAGTGGGGATGACTCAAACGGCGATGCCAAAGATCCCAACTAGATAGTTTAACAGAAAAACAATTCTGAGGCGAAGCATTCCCAACAGTCATCGGTGCATCTCCAACACCCTGGACTCGTCCGCTATCAATAGGTAGCAAGGGAGAATCATCAACCGTACGCCCTTGAGTCCTAGTACGAGCAAGCGAGTCCAACGTGTAGATTCTCCCACACTTAGTCCCTCGGTCGATCACCTCCCCCGTTGTCATGTCCTGAACAACGCAACCACGCGAATCAAAGGTAACATAACAACCGTCCTCATCCAATTAACCAACAAAAACAAAACTACGAACAAGACTAGGAACATATAGTGTATTGGGAAGCTGAAGCCCATCCCTCTCAATAGTACCCATGCCGCTAGTCGTAAGACAATTACCATCAGCCACTTGTAATTTCACACTGGACGTCGGAGTAATAGTAGTAAATGAAGAACGACTACTCGTCGTATGGTTAAATGCGGCACTATCAAGGTGCCAAGAATTAGAGGAGGAAGAAGGCATAACGGTAGTGAAGGTAGATCCAAGAACGGAGGGAAGAGTGTCCTGAAGCACCTCCTGCATGAGTTGACGTAGCGCGTCCCGAGAAGCCAGAGAATCAGCGGAAGATGGAGCCACAGTCGTGGCGTACGCGGCTGGAGCTGAGCGACCAGAAGCCGATCCTGAAGATGAACCAGGCTGCCGAGATCGACCTCGTTGGGCCAAGATGGGACAGTCCCCTATGACATGCCCTTCCTTCTTACAATAATTGCAAGCAATACTCTTGGGGCAGCGATGTTGAAGGTGACCTGGTTCCCGACAATGATGGTAGATAATTTCACCAGATGGTGTGCGATCAAAACAAGGAAGATCAGTAGCAGTATAAGCCGAAGCAATCTCGGTAGAAGGAGGCAGCACAGATGAACCAGAACCGAAAACGCCACATCAAACGCAATCGGAGCAGGCGATTCAGAAGAGTGAAAATCAAGCTTCGCTTGACTCCGCAAGCATGTTTCCTCGCGAATAAGCTCCCCCAAAACCTCTTCAATAGTAGAAACATTGTGATGGAGAAAATAAGATCGAATCCCCTCAAAACTCGGGACGAAGATTCATCAGAAAGTACATAAGCTGAGAACTAGCCCTCTCCTTCAGCACCTCTACGGATGCGGCAGCGAACACTGACTAGGCGGACAGTAAATCAAGCTCAGTCCTTAAACTAACCAGTGCCTGATAGTACGAACAGATGTCCAAATCCCCTTGTTGACGACGTGCAATATCAACCTCCAACTCAAACTTACGGGACACACTCGTTTGAGAATGCAAAACCGAGAGATGAGTCCACATGTCGTGTGCTGACAAGAACCCCCGGAGACTCAGCCCAATAGCAGGCTCAACAGAACCCAAGATCTCGGTTACAACCTGAGCGTTTTGAATAGCCCAAGCATCCCTGTCTTTGGTCGGCGCATCAGCGGCGGGAGCAGGTAACGTTCCATCAAGAATGGGCAACAAGCCACGACCCTGATCGTGACAACATCAACCTTCGATGTATCCATGGATAAAAGAAAAGAAACCCTCTAAAGCAACTAGACACACGTCGAGATAGGGAAGAAAAAACCAACCGAAAACCAAGAAACCAGCACGCGCAGCTATAGGAAAGACCAACGGAAAACGAGAACAGGCACACGCAACCCACAAACTCAGCGACCAACGAGAAACCAAGGCTGCTGTAAATCCACGAGATTAACCCTGAAGAGGCTCTGATACCATGTCAAACATAAACGAGACACAAGATTTACGTGGTATCCTCAATGTATAACGTTGAGACTAATCCAACGGAGAGGTGGAAATCTCACGGAGTCAATGGAATTACGTAGTATGGAGTCCAGAAAGATTACATGCGGCTAAACCACCAAATAAATACAGTTGCCCACAAACCCTAGGTATGCGGATTGTAATTAACCAATAAACAGGCTAGGTTAATTACAATCTAGTACCCAGAATTCTAACAGTTTCTCCCTCCATCCCGAGATTGAGAACTAGCTGGTTGCACACCACATTTTCAACACAAAATAATTGGACCGACGTGTCAGAACAATGGTTCCAACGGAAAGATAGGCGTTGGTTTTAGGCTCGAACAAGCCGGAAACTCAGTCCCTTTTTCTCAATATGATTCTCCACCTTTCTTTATTCATTCCACTACAAGAAAAAAGGTTTTTTGCAACCAACACATTTGGTTGCTAAAAGTTTTAAAATTGGTTATTAAATATTTACACAACCAAAAAATTTTGGTAGCAGAATTGGTCGCTATAGTCGCGTTACGAATTCCTACAACAACCAAAATTATGATTGGTAGCGAAAAATAAAGCTATCGCAACCAATTTTGCCAATGGTAAGAGAATCTTGATTTTTTTGCGACCATCTTAATTTGGTTGCCATTGTTCACAATATTGGTTGAGGAATGTCGATGGTTGATCGCCATAAATACTAATGAAAATCAATTTATTTGACTATTAGTAACCAACAACATCATTATTGTTATGGGACAATCCAAGTACCACATCGGTAATACAAGGGAAGGAACCCTTGTATATTAGTGTCCACCAAGCTCATTAGTACGAGGCCTTTTGGGGAGGACACCCAAGAGTAAAACCGTGCGGGCTTGGCCCAAAGCGGACAATATCGTACTAATGAGCAGCCCAATTATGACAATTATAACGACCAATAGTTTTCTTTGTGAAAGTTTAACACAACTATAAAGTTTGGTTGTGAAAAACAAATATGCCAACCAATTATATCATTTTATACGACTAATTATTTTTGTTATAGAATTGGTAGACAACCATAAAATTTGGTTGTAAAATTCCCATGCCAACCAATAGTATTATTTTAGGTGACTAATTTTTGTTGGTGATGAAAGTTTAACACAACCATATAATTTGGTTGCGAACAACACAAGAGCCTAACAAATAAATAATTTCATATAAATAATTTTGTCCGTGGAAGATTCTCAGTCATGTCACATTTGATCCATTTAATTAGAAAAATTGAATGATAATAAAATACCATATTTTATATATAACAAAGTTGGTACATAATGTTCTAAGCCACAAATTACAAATATATTGGGACTGAAACCTTCAAAGCCTCTCAATGCCATACAATGCACATGATCTCAAGGATAAAGGGATGAGCTAATCTCCAAGAACTCCTAACACTTGAAATTTGAACCATACTGCCTGAGCATAAAAGGATGAGCTAAGATGAGCCAAGAAAGAAAAGAGGTCATAAGATCGTACTTGCTGACCTCTAGGATCTTTCTTGTGAAAGGAAAATTGCGCGCACACACACAGACGCAAGCAACAAGACTAAACACTCATACCAGAGACAGAAGATAGGTTGACATTTTTAGTCAACTACATGAAGAAAACAACATAAGTTATAGTACATCAAAAGGCATGTCATACATTTTAGTACCTCAACTTCCAAAAACACATTGTATGAAATTTCTACATTCTGGTATCCTTCTTATAGCTACCTAGACTTCCATTAACACATACTGTCTGAAATTTCTGCATTATGGTATACCCATTTTATCTATTAAGAAACTAATCGGCATTATTTTACAATTTGATAACCAAAACAAACAGATCTGAAGCAGATCTAAATTTGACATAGCTCATAGAAAATTAAAGATAGGAAACAGACCGGATTCGACTTAGCTCATCTTATAGAGAATCAGAAATCGAATCCTACATAAAGTTACCTTCTGAGAATCGAGGAAGAATGATTGAACGAAGTGACCAAACTCTTTCCTTGCTTCAGAACCACTTCCTTTGGAGACTAGAGCAGCCGGATTGGGATTGGTAGCTGAGTGTGGTTGAACAAAGCAATCAGGGGAATTGAGATGCATTCAGAAACAGAGATGCATCTTAATTCTAATACGCAAATGAAAATGTGACTAGGGCCTTTGAAAAGCAAGGAAATGAGGCTGAGAATCTTCAAAAACACATTATTGAACCCAATTAAGACTAAACTGAATCCTGAATCCTATCTTGTAACTGCAAGATTCTACCAAACAATTTGCTAAGAAGGCACACCATTTCTAGAATTATTAGCATTCATGGGATTACAAAGTATAGTTCGCTGCAACCAATAAAGTTCTTTCACGATGCTAACAAACGTCTTTTTGCATTCATTTTCAACCTCAACATAATGTTTTTACCACACTACCATTTTGTGACCAACACAGATCAATTTACCTCATTAGATGAAGCTTATTCTAAACCATAGAAGAACATTTAAATTGAATGTTATCTATTTTCATATTTTAAACATTTTGGGAAAGATAAAGGATTGAATAGTTTAAATATATAACTAACCTGACCTAAAGTTGGAGTTGATATGATGCTCAGCATACCATCTTGCAAGTCCTTTGGAAACTTGTCTTGTCCCAAAGAAGAGTCTGCCAAAAGAGCAGGGGTTTTAAAGTAAGCCTGGAAGGTTTCATATACTGAGTTTAAACTTAGATTGTTGGTTGTGTATGAGTCAATACTTTATGAACACAAAATTTCAAGTGACCTGAGGTCTTCCGCTGTAAATCAACAACTTCCCTCTTACAATATGATCAAAAAAATAAAAAATGCTCCAAACTCAATCTAATTACGCACCAAACAACAATGGATGGGTAACTTCAAGAATGAGAATCCCTTTAAAGCACACCAACTTCACGAGAAGCAAAGACAAGAAAGAAACTTACTCTTAGAATTTGTCAGCATCAGGGGATTGAGTCACCAGCACCAAGCCACCAACCATTACTTTATTTCCTTGCACTACCCTGTTTGTGGGCTGTAATGATCAGTAGAAAAAGGTGATCTCGTTACCAAAGATAAGACATTAAACCATAGAGGATCATTCCCCCCGAGATTATCAATGACCAAGTTGACATAAACATTCAAACTAATACTGATACTCTCATCATTAACCGCAATTTGGTTAAATAGGTTTAGAAAGGAGCAATCCTGAACAAATTTGAAATATCTGAAAGTAACAATAGGATTCAATTTAAATGCATCATAAAAACCCATACTAAATAAATACCTTAATCTTGTGAACCTCTTGTAGCATTTTTCATTTCTCTATTACTCCCAGTCCTTCCTGCTTAAGCGATTACATCTGTGAGATTCTGACTACAATATTATGCAAGAACTCTACAATAAAATTTTCTTACATTTATGTATATAATCATCTCATATCCCAATCCAAAATCAGTAGCTTTCTCAAGCAAAGATGTTATTGTATGAAGTATTACTACCTCGGGAGAAGAGCATCATAGTCCAACAAACCTAGAAATGCGACAACCATTATAAGTCCTTACAGTAACTCAATTCTAAGTGAAGTTTTTCAGGTTGCAATATTTTCTGGTACTTATACATTAACACTTACCAGAAGAGCTTACGGGAGCTGACTTCTAGCCTTGGGTTCACACCAGAAAGTTTGATTGACAAGAACTACAGAAAGAGGCGCGGAAAACAAGCAAATCATGGTTCTTCAAGGCTAATTGAAGGAAATAAATAGCCTGCTTTTTACTTTCAGAGTAATTACCTCAACCTGGCGCCAAGAAGACTGAACATAATTAATGATCTAATACAACAACCCTACCCTTCCGGCGATTACGTTGTGGCAAGGGACCAAATCATGCAGACACTTCATTTCCTTGCATATCTTTTCCAACCTTGCATGGAACAATGCCAAAACAGTGTACCTAATAGGAAATTCTGTGTTTACCAATTCAAACAGACACCAAAAAGCTATGTCCATACTTCAATTTTCACTTGCTCTTTCCGCTAAACTGTGGCTATCAATAGCTTAGTCACGGTACACATTAATGTAATATCTTGTCATCACAATAGAAGAAACCAAACCTTGGTTTACAGCTAATTCACAGTCTCCACTTCTAACCATCTAGGTTGCTCCTACAAGGGAAACAAAAGTGATGGCGTTCAGATTATATAGAATTTAAGCATTGTCAATTTAGGTTCCCAGTTCTCATTTGACGCTCTAGATTGATTACCCCCAAAGTGAAAATGGCAAACACATATGATCAATATGCCATTGTCTCCTAGTGACATCTCTGAAGGGGTGAGATTGATAATAAAGAGCTCATAGAGATCCATCCCAGAAACTAATATTACCATCCCCAAGAGATACACATCAGTTTACCATCATACGAAATAAAAAATGCAAATATATACCCAACAACACAACATACTGAATGTGCTAACTCCTTTTCTCCAGCAGCCTATGTAAACCAACCAGGCTATTCTTAAAGGCGTCAACACTCCATTTTCTTGCTTAACTTTTCCCGTTTTGCCTCGAAGAATGCCAAAACAGTGTACCTTCATTCAGTATAGAATTCCCATGTACATAGCTTAATTTCTCTGAACTATAAAAGTGGAAGGCACGCTGTGGTTCTATATAGAGACCAATATTATTACCAAATTAAAGAAGAAGAAACTAACCAGCATCCATCAGTTTGTTTTTTGTGGGGTTGTCAAAGATCAATGACTAATAAGTTCCATAACAATCTTCCCAAAGAGCTATCTTTAAACAGTCCAGCCACAGGTAACATACTCTCTGCTAGCCATCATCACCTGCCATAGAACCCCAACTCACTTATTCTTGACCAAATAAGGGAATATGAGCACGTCTCCTTCCATGAACCCCTCTCCCTAATGTTTACCCAAACAGTTGTCGAGCAAAGATTGAAATTAGAAACTAAGAAAGTTGAAAAACGAACAAGAGAAGAATCAATTCAAATCTGGTAGAACTGATCGGTACCTTGACATGATTTCGTCGGAGAGTTTGAAGCCTATTGCCGTGACACTGAACTTTAGTCGGAGATGCTCTTCAATTCCCTTCTGCTATCGTCCGAAACTGTCATGATCTTCACCGACTCCCGTTCAAGCGCTCGACCACCGCGTAGAGGAGATTTACCTACAACCCCCAATTTT